ATATATATATATATAAGAAAGGTGGCAAGATAATGCACTCTATACATTTAGGCCTATCAGCTGGAAATTAAACCACCTTCATTAATGAAGTCACTTGCTTCAAAGCTCTTATATCTCTGGTTTTTTCTTGGAGATAGAGAAGGTTGCTTTTCAGTTTCTTTTCCTTCTGCATCATGTGGAAGCATCACATTCTCTGACTCATGAATCTCTATGGTTTCATCCTAAAGCACATTAAGGCAAACGAAATAGAATCGTGGAGCATATAGTTCAGGCTTGACAGACAATGAAATATAAGTCGAATTGCAAAGATAACAAGAAAAAGGATACAGTGGATACCGTATCTGAATTTGAGTTGTCAGTTTCTTGTTTGTGGTTCTCCAAAATTTGTGGCCTAGAAGATGTTCTTGATGGAATTTTTCTCCAATTTGCTACTGGTGTACAGAGGTCCTCATTGAGTAGTTTGCATAATTGTGGAGGTGGATTTGCATCCTTCGCAAAAGATGGACACTGAAAATCAACCAATGGAATTGAAGTTTTTTCTACTGATGGATGATCAATCTCCTTCTCCAGATTGACATCATTTGGCACTTGGCTTTTATCATGTTTCCATGAATTCCTCTTCCTTTTCAGACTACCAGAATGTTCTTCAGTTTCTGCACTGCTTAATACTGGTGGCATTGCTAAATGCTTATTTGCTCCTAATTGTAAGTGGTGGTTCAAAATTGGAACCTGGTTTGATGTTTGCAATTGGTCTTTGTCATGCTGAAACACTAGACAAGGAGAGGACCTTGTTTCCTGTCTCCTTGATGTTACTTTAACAGAAGATAACACTGTTTGTTCTTTTTCATTGGATTTTAGAGTCTTGTCAGAAACCAACTTTTTAGGAAGTGGGGCTGCCCTGAACTTAATTCTCTTGTTTTTCTGCTCACTCCTCTTCCTTTTCGATATATTAGGATGGCCACTGACATATCGGCCTGAAGTGACTGCTTTTGCTTCCTCTTGATCAAAGGCAAAGATGTTCTTATCTTCCAACTTTGGTTTAGATTCTGTGCTGGAGGCAGACAATGGAATCTTCGGATACAAATTACCCCTGTGCAACTTCTGGAATGTTCTACATGAAGCTCTCTTTCGTGTAAAATAATGAGTAATAGGTCCTCTAATGATTTCTTTCGGACTCTCCAAATGAGTCTCAATAGCATCTGGGTTCTGTTTTGGTTTGACTGATTTTTCTTTCAGAAATTCCCCTCTTTGATTTCTACTGAGTGTCATTTTGTCTCCAGGAGTTGAAGAGTCCATAGTATGATTGCTTTTTGGAGCCATACCAAATTGTTTACCATGGTATGCCTCTTTGTCTTCAGAATTTGGCAAGTTCATATTCTGCTTGCTCTCTGAAGCCATACCAAGTATCTCCCAAATCTTCTTCTTCAGGGCCCCATTGTTGTCCGTAGTCACTTCATCAGGCTGTTCATAACCCACACCTTTTTGTAGCATTTGCATTTTCTGCATGGTGGCAAATGCGACTGCCCTTTCAGTGTTTTCATCCTTCTCTAATCTCTTTCCGCAAGCAAGAGAATCAGTTTCCTTATGTACTCCATCCTGTGACTGTAGAACTGAAGCTTGGTTTACAAAGAACAGAAATTTCTCTGCAGTTGGTGTTTCATGAAGTAGGGGCTTTCTGGAAAACCACGCTGAAGGCTTCTCAGCTTTACCTGCCTGATCTACTTTAGCATCAACAACTGCTATGTTCTTGAGCATACCTTCTTCTGTATCAAGTACTGTAGTTTGCTCAGCAAATACATGAACTCTTTGAGAGCTTGGTGTCTCATGAGGTTTAAATCTTGTGGATAATTTTTCTGAAGCCATCTGCTCTTTATTAGTCAGTTTTCCATTTTGCTTTGTGGTCTCAGTAACCTCAGGTACTTTGTTTTCCTTTACAATGTTTTCTTGAGATGAATGTATTCTCTCGCAAGCAGGAACTGTAAGTCTATCTTTAATTTTTGCTCCAGATGCCAGCATTGGAAACTTATTAATAGTAATCCCAATTGATACCTTGGAAAATCTATCAGAAGGATAGGGATTACTGCCCAAACTCCAACAATCATTTGCCCCAGCCTAAATTTCGCCATTTGAATCTTGTTATAATATAAATGGGACATCTATTTCGACAATAAAAGCATGAAAACAACAAAAAACTTGACCCTACAATAAATTATTCAAGCAAAAAGAGTCCTAAGGCATGATGTTCGATATTAACAGCTAAAAGCAACTTAAAACTCATCAACCAGAAAAAGTTTTCCTCCATAACATCAGAGGTTCTTGTGTTTTCATCATTTTCAACCTTTTGCCTTGTACATACCTTAATGACTGGAAAAATCCATATACCCAAACCAAATAGTTTACAGCCTGCTATTGTTGTGTATCATTTTGAAGCTTTTATAGGAACCACTTACATCTTGCAACTTCAGTGGTTCAGTATTGGTCATTTTGCTCCCATGCAAGTCAACTATAACAGTCAATGTTAGGTTGAACCTAACAAGCAAGGAAAAAAAGCTTCAGAAGATAACAGAATAAGAAAAGATACACTTTCTGAAGAACAACCATTAGATTACCAACTCAATTTAGCCCCATCATGTAAAACATGACAAAGGAAATAAAATTTTTTTGAAACATAATTTGTTCGTCAGCTTTCACATGTATCCTCTCATGAAATTTTCGAAGTACTTTCAGCCTGCTAACAACAATTGTTACTCTAGACTGTTTCTAGATATAATCCATTATAAAACTCCATAACATATGGATGACCATTTTTTGTTGTTTTACCTCAATATAAAATTTTAAAATTTATAATACCTGAGAAGTTGAAAGATAGATAAGATATGTGTCACCGTTTTTCTATTATCATCCATATTATGTGCTACTTGTTAACTTGTTCTCTCCTAGCAAGCAAAAATTTCCTTATCGGCCTGCATTTTCATGAAGAACAAGAGATATGTACCTAGAATTATGGTATGCAATTTCGAATGGTACCGTCCGGTATGGGCGGTACATACCGGTCCGACGGCATACCGATACGCGGACCACCCGTTACCGGACGGAACGTGCTACAGTGATACAATGCTCCAACGGTAAAATTGACCGTTGGAGCCCTTTCTCATAGTATTTAAACATCTTCTTCTCCCATATTTCACTCTATTACATTTTCATACTCTTTTAAACTATCTCAAACTCTTTTTTCTCACATTTGTACTCTCCTAAACTCTACAAAACAACGATTTGTGAATTGAATCAAGGCTAATTTGGGAAGATTAAGAGGAAGAACTTTCTAATCAAGAGATATGTTTACATAAGGACAATTCATAATGGACTGAAATACAAATCTTGCACAAAATATTCTTTAAAGCCCGAAAAAGATATGTGATACTATTCTTACCTAATTTACATTGATTTTGCTAAACTTATGCTATTACTATATTTATTTCTAACTTAAAAACCCTGTCCTAACCTTTTTTTTTATTTTCAAGTATTTTCGGAAGGTTTTACGCCTAAATTAGGTGTACCGCTCGGTACGCCCTGGCGTACCGCTCGGTACACGATATCGTACCATACCGAGCCAACCTTGAAACACTGGTACGATACAGTATTGCATACCTTGCCTAGAATCACTTTTGTTACAATGATGTGACATTCAACTATGAAAAAAAGTTTGCACCCTTAGAAATGGGCTTCTCTTATAAACTGATGAGAAACTAGGCATGACAAAAAAAAGTAATCACATAAATTTTTTACATAAAACACAGTTTACTTATATTCCATACACATCTCGAACCATGACATATTAACAAGGAAAAAATTAGCCATGTGGTCAAACAATGTCAAGCCGGGAACAAACCAGTCTTTTATAAATTTATCAGCAATGCAACTGTAAAATCATATTAAAAATGATATAATTAATTAATTAAAATTGACAATCCATCTAAAAAAAGCCATGAAATCTTTCACAGATAAAACAAACAGAAAAAGCTTTTTGGTGTTCGGTATCAATTATGATGTGCAAAGTAAAACTGAAATAGGTTCAAGAGCCGAGACTCTAATATTCCCTACATAATATATCAAAATTCCAGTAACATGAAATATCTAAATTCGCCATAACCTAGTTAGCGATGACTCAGAAATCCCAATTCAGCAAATCCCGCGTTAGTAGAGTATAGAGGTTCACAAAGAACGACGAGCGCAACACGTTGTGTGAACCGACTATGAAGACCCTGCCTCTAGAGGAAAAAGCCCACTCATTCTCCAGAGGAACACTTCAAATACATCAATCAACTAAATTACCACCATAATGAAATTACAGAAACCCTAAATTCGTCGTGAAGCAGAGCTGATGCAGAATTCCCAACTTGCAAGTGCAAGTCGAGAAAAGCCGCAGCAGCTGGATCTAATCGGAGCGAGCCCACAAAAGAAACGCAAGATCGGATACACGATAGAGGAAGATGACAACAATTAGATCGCAGATTCCAGGAACACCTCCATCCAAGAAGGCTAACATCAACAGATCCGAGGGAAACAACGGAAGGAACAAGGAGATCGGAGGAGATCTCACCTCTCCCCTCATCGTTTGCGGATCCAACGCTCTCAGCGCTGATCTCCTCCTCCTCCTCTCCCTCTATCGGCTCTGCGAAATGCGCTTCAAAATTCGGAAACAAGGGCTGCTTTCCCTCCACCGCAACCGAACCAGGGGCCGCCTTTTATACTAAGGCCCTGGCTTGACCCAACCGGGAGATCCGCGGTTCAGTTGGACCGGGTGGCCTAATGAGCTTAATCTGAGTTCAACGGTGCCGAATTGGCTCGACTGTTCTCATCTTGAGATTGCAACCATTTTGAATTGACGACTGAAGAACAAAATCTTATCCTTTTTATTCAAATGTGCTTATTAGTCACTGTATTGGATCTTTTTATATAGGTTCGTCACAAGTGACAGTTCCATGTCCTACACCTTTGAAATCTGCGATGGTAATGCGTCGGAAGAAGACAAGGACTCGAGAAGCGACAGCAATTTCTTAAAACAATTCAGCTGTTTCATCCATCGCCATGCCGAAAAGCTTCTCTTGCCCCTGCGCCGAGCTGTCGTCAAAGAACCACGGATCGAACAGGATGAGTGGTGCTTGGTCCGCCCAAACCTCGCTCATGGAGTCGGCAAACCGATGGCTGGAGGATGAATCTCCGGGTTTCGGCGAGTCATCGGTGGTCCAGCCTTGGAGAAGCCCGGCCATGTCGTCCGTGCTCGATGCGCACGGCGTGCTGCTGCTGGCGTCGGAGGGGAACTTGGAGTGAGGCGGGGAGCTCGGCTTCTCGATCAACAAGGCGTCGCACAAGTCTCGCTTCGCCTTGTGGATGTCGGTTTGGAGACACCTCTCCCACTGTCCTCTGGAGATGGACTGCTCGTTGGAATGCTTCTTGCTGCCGCTCTTCGAGACGTCGGCATCAGCATCGAGCTTCCTGAGCTTCTTCTTCAGATGGGCGTTCCAGTGGTTCTTGATGTCGTTGTCAGTCCTTTCAGGTAGATAAGAAGCTATGGCAGCCCATCTGCATGGAGTCATAACACAAGAATCAACGTGACCGACCATCGAGCTGAGACCATAAGAGCAGTAGTGATTCTGACCTGTTGCCAAGGAGAGCTTGGAGGTGAACTATCATTCTATCCTCTTGATCGGTGAAGTTGCCACGCTTGATTCCTGGCCTCAGGTAGTTTGTCCACCTGAGCCTGCAGCTCTTGCTGCATCTCATGAGACCTACAAAACCAAAACATAACCCGATGTTGATGTAACAGGTATCGTTATGTAATTCATCAAGGAATCACAATATGACTTGATCGAGTCACCGGTCTTGACAGGAACATCATTCCATTTTCCTGGACCATGCTCCTTGATGTAGGAGAACAAGATTAGATCCTCTTCTGGCGTCCAAGGACCCTTCTTCACACCAACCGTCTCAGAACCCAGTGGCCTGCTCATGTCGCCCTTGGGCTATTGTTCCTCGAGGAATGAAGAACGAGAGAGAGAGAGAGAGAGAGAGTATATGTATACAAAGATGGTGTCCGTTTCCTTCCCTCCTTTTGCTCCTCCTCTTCGACACAAAGGGGGCAAAGGCAAGGGTCTGAGGGTGCGTTCCTTCCAACCTTTGCCACCCATATATACACAAAAGACACGAGGGAAGTCTTTCTTCGCTCAGGATCCGCTGACCAAGGCAGGCATGCATCGATTGCAAGATGAGTCAAAAGAAGGCAGCCAGTTGCATTTACTCTGATGTACCATCGACATCTTAGATCGCACAAGGGAAGCTTCCTTCATCTATTTCTCTATCTATCCATCTACCTATCTATCTCCCTATTATCTCTCTCTCTCTCTCTCTCTCTATCTATCTATCTATTCTCATACATGTCCAATGAGAAATGTCTCTCTTTCTCTATCTATCTATCTATCCATGCTCATGCATGTCCAATGAGAAATGTTATTTACCATTTGTCTTACTTGACTGGAAATGGAATTATAAATTCCTCCTGGCAGATCAAGCTCAGGAGATTAAGACTTGCTTTAGTCCTTCTACTACTGCCGCTTCTTGTACGCAAGGTTTGGCAAAGAGATGACGGTTAACAGAATTCCATCAATGGATAAGTAGAAGCTTAAAGGAAGAGTGCATCACAGCTGTCTCGACCAAGACACTGTTCAGAGAAAGAAGGGAGCAGGAGGGTCAAATCGTCAACGGCGGGTGACGTTGACCTCGTGGCTCATGAACCGAGGTGAGAGATCGGTGGCTGACTTCTGGTCTTTCACCACTTTTGACCTACCACAACTTGCCACCTGCTCTTATCATGAACTAACAGCCACGGAGTTGCACCTATAGCTGAGTCGAGGCTGTCGAGTCTTACAGCCACATCATTGAATTTTATATTTGTCAACCCCCTTGACGTCAGGAGAACGATCGAGTCCATTTCATGTGTTGCATTTGAGCCACGATTTTAGATTAGATTTATCTTAATATTTATGTAATTACATCTCCAAATTCTCTATTTCGAAGGACTATAATATATGATCTCCTAAAAATAGCAATTATAATTAATATAAAATTAAAGAGAGAAAAAATCTGGAGGTCTGTCCTAAGATATATATATGTATATATATTGAATTTCACATATTAATTGGGAGAATGAGAAGATTGCATTGGAATTATGCATGACACTACTTCTTTTGGCTGCTAATTTCTGATGTATCCCATATGATATTGTTTAATCATTTGTGATGGCACATACAAAAGCAAAAACAAGATCAAATTCTAATAAAAATATCTTAATTTTTTTTTCCATTATATATACACATATAATCCCAATTTTTACATGGCTATAAAATTACAGAAACAAAAAGGGATTTCGATGAACATGTGTGTAATCATGAAAAGCTTTTCTAGCCTTCTTTTCCTATTAGATTTTTTGAAGCAAAAACTCATTAATATGCATCAGTTTCATGGGTAGATAATGTAGGAAAAAAAATTCAACTGTGTAGGACCTGATCACTTAATGAGGTGGAGGATGTCAGAAACCAGTTTTGATCAATCAAAATCACCAACAGTTTCTAAGTCAAAATTTTCCTGGGATGTCGAGGTCAATCATTTTAGAATAAGTTACAAGTTAGCAAGTAAATTCTGATCCAAGTCAAGCAAATTCATTAATGGATGCACAGTTGAAAACTTCCTCACATTTTTTCGCCTACTTCTTTTGTAGTATTAATGATATGTTGGCATGCTGCTTCATTTTTCTAATGGAATCATGGATATATTTATCTCCCCATGAATTCTAAAAACAAAATTTTGTATTATTTATGGAAATATAAAATTTAATTTAATTTTTTATTATTGTAAATTTGATCATCGACTAGATGTAAAGAAATTGATTTGATCATTTTTCAAGTATTGTTTGTTTAGAAATGAAAAAATATATATAATATTTGAGATGAAAACAGATGATTCTATGGAAGCCCATTGTTTAAGGTGTTAACAAACTCTTAACCTTTGGTAAATGGATCCGATACACTATCATCAAACCGATGTTTAAGATGTGATTAACTTTGAAGTTCTAATGAGATCCGATAATATGACCGCATACAAAATAACTTGGATGATGTTTTGAATATATATTCGTATATGTATGACTAGCACATTATCATATTTAGGCTAGCTAAGCTTTATCGACCATATAAATTGGTTTTAAAAAAAATTATAAAAAAAACCAAGTTAATAGAGTGATCATATTTTACTATCTTATTTTTCTGTTTTCTCTTTTCTTTCATAAAATATTTTATTATAATCTTCTATTATAATATTTAAGATTTGATGTATAATTGCCCGATCATTATATTATATACACAATCTATTACCCGTTTATACATGGGTCTAAAATATTTATTCCTTGAAAGGGGAAGACAACCACCATTTTGATTGCAACACCATGCGATACGTGACACGGAGAGGAGTAAAAGAAGGGGAGCGAGTTGTGGACTTGGAATCAATGGAAGACATCGGAGCAGTGCGGCAGTCATGCAAGTGGGAAGAAACCCACATGGCCAAGCAGACTCGCACGCATGCGTGGCGATGGTGACCGCCTTGCACCGGACGCAGTCAAGGGAATGGGAAGCACCTAATTCATGGCTGCTATTCCATTCTCTACGCCGTGCAAACCTGAAAGAACCAAACATCTCTCTCTCTCTCTCTCTCTCAAGACGATAATCTTATGGAATCGGGTCTCTCACATCAAGAAGGAAACTACAGCACCAGCTCTACACATATTATACGCAAACATATCCGGAAAATGTCATGCTTCTTTTTTTTGTTTTTCTTTCTCTCTCTCTCTCAAGAAAATTATCTTGCTGAACCAGATATATGACATCAAGAAGTCCAACAATAGCACCAACTCTATTCAGATGTAGTATAACATGTGATACGACATATTTTAGCATCGTCCATGTGGACCCAGACAAGCAGACACAATGATGCAGACGTGAAACCTTAAGTACGATGTGGTGCACAGCACACACGTGGCGGGCAACTGCTTGTCGCCCCTTCCGTACGAACGACATCATCATGGTACAATCATCCCGGAAAGCTCGGGGTGACGTCGCGTGATGCTGATCCGGGCAGGTCGATTGGCGCTCATACAGAAGCTTAAGTCGACCACCGCCCAAGGAGTTGGTCATAGTGAATTGACCGTACAACCAACTCATCCCCGCAGGTATAAAAGCTAATCCTCCTTAATTCAGGGGAGGAGGCACTTCGAATACTCAACTCCATCTCATTCCACTAAAACCCGACTTAAGCTTCAGAGGGGTCAAGTTAAAAAATCACCCTCCCAACCTCGACTTGTGTGTAGGAGCTCAGCGACGAAAAAGCAGGCCACTCGTCAAGAGAGAAGACTGTGCTCAGGGGACGAGACTCGAACCTGACCCGGCTCGAACCCTCGTCACCTGAGCATCCACGTGGACAACCTTACGCATCCGGGACCGGACCGAACCACGTGACACCTCGATCATGGTGTAAAGATTTACTAACAACATGCAAAGTTATCCGAAAAATACCATGCTTCTCCCCCCCTCTCTCAAGACGATGATCATACAAACTTCGCAAGGAGACATGTGTTAGGCACAATGTCAAACGCAGTCTAATAACGCCCGCCTTTGGCCACCTTCTTGCTCTAATGGATTAAGACAACATGCAACCATTGCCACAGTTCCAACTAAGATGACACTGAAACGATGATCTTATTTCGTCAACAATCGATTTAGCAGCTTCAAGCGTCATGAATGCTTCATCAAACATAATAAAAGAGAAAAGGTGATGGTTCCAAGAGATGTAGCCACCTTGATCGAGTGGCCGAACCCCCAAACTGAAGTTGACCCACTCATTAATGTTGTTGATCATGTCAAACCATCTACAGTGCAAAACAGTCGACCAAGAAGTTGGGGTAAAGACCGGGGTGTTGGCAGTTCATGTCAAGGACTGCCATGACTAGGACAGGACCACTGAGTTATTTGTGCATGATGATGATGGTGGGATATAAGTGATCGGTTGTCCCCGGAGAGGCATCACCCTAACTTTTTGAAGTCTTTTCATCCCACCATTGATCTCTCTCTCCTTCCTCAGACAGACAGTGTCAGTTCAATCAATTGTGTGCGAAATTTCATGGCAACTTCCTGAAGGCCTCAGTCATGCTTCGTCCGAGAGCTGAGTCAATAGACGACATCACCAATCAAGGAAAGACAATGAAAGAACATATTTTGTATCACTTGTGGAACCCAAAATATGACAAGAATTTCCTGAGATAATCTCTATTCAGAACTGCAATTTGAATACAACAAAAACGAACCATTGTTCACCACATCTTTTTCTTTTTTTCTTTTTTTATTCTCTGAAAAGGAAATAATGTAGGATATATATATATATATA